GAGTTTCTTAGTTTTTAACTAATATAGTGGCGAATTACAAAAATTCCTTTTCAATGAAAATTAATGAGTTAAATAAAATAATTTAATAAATTACTAGCTTTTTTTCGCGACTACGTTCGCGTTACACCTCGAATCGTTCATGCATTGATTTAAATGATTTTTTACTTCTTTGTAGAGAGCTAGTGAGCATAGATGTTTTTATTTTTCATCTTTTTATTTATTTATTAAGAGCACTAATACTCTCTTTATAGGTTATTTTTTACTCTTTGAAGGATAATTGAGGAAGATATATTTCTGTTATGATGTCACTAAATAAACCCTTGTATAAAATTTTATACTGTCTGGTTTATAATGTTATAGTATTGCATTTTCGTACAGCAAACTTTCATTCCCTATTCTACTCCCTAAGGGTATAAATTTCATAAATTCGCTTTACCTTTGTGCCAATTTTTATGTGTATAATCCAGAGGTCACCAAGTTTTATATAAATTTTTACTAACTTTACCCATTTGGTTGATGAATTCAAAAATTTCTTCTAATTATTTTTGTAGGACTTCATTCTTCTAGACCAAATAGTAAAGAATTTTCATACAACAAACTGTTCCGAGATAATTTTACTCTCTAAGAGGATGAATTTCCTAAAATCGCTTTGTGTAGCTAATTCACTAATGTCGTTTAAACGAACCTTTGTGCTAATATTTATGTATCTAAAGCTGGCGGCATGAACTCACTCTAAAATATCTAAAAACGTAATATATAATCTAACTGACACACCACTGACAATGACATATTTCTGGAGGTATTGTGTGTAGGTGTTTTTCAGGTATGTTTTAGTATTTAGTCGTTTTACACAAAGAAATAGCCATTAAGCACTATAAAAATACTTCATAACAAATCTACACATTTAAAAAAAGAATCATCAAGATTGGTAAAGCGGTTTCGGCGGGATGGATGCAACAAAAAAAACCTTTGAGCTTTTACATATGTATGGATTAATTATTTTTCCAACATATTTTACTTTTCAAATTTTTATAAATATTCAGACTCGCCAATATCGTACTCCACCGTGTCCAGCCTGTTTAGCCAAACGTAGGCCGATTCGGCGGCGTCGTGACCCTGGCCGAAGGAAGAGCCTTGAAGACGCTCATCCGCGCATAGGAATAAGTTGACTGCGTAGCGTATTGCGTATTAATCGATTCTGAAACTTTCTATCTCGTGTATAACATGTTACGCAAGTTTATTATTCTAATCTCGATTTTAATGGATAAATGTGTGAAATGCCACCTGAATATCTTCCGCCATGACATGTTTTTACTTTTTTGTTATGGTAAAGTGATTTGTATAAACTTTGTTCAATAACGTATATATTTTTAATTTTAAGCGAAAATTAAGTATAACATTTTAGGAAAAAGAAACACTGTAATATTTAAAAGAATAAGAAGAAATTAGTCTTATTTTGAAAGGAAAATATAGAAAAAACTCTTTATATAGAAAAAGTCTTACCACTATTGTTACAGGTTAATTTTTTAAAGAAATATGTTACACAAGTTAAAAACGCTAAAACTTTAATGGTATTACTTGTGCATTATTGGCCTTATATTGTAATTTGTTGGAATTATATCTTCTTTAAATATAATTAGACTTTTTAACGACTTCTAAGTTACCTAGGAAAAAATCTGTGCACGTACCTACCAGTATTGTTACAGGTTAATTCGTGAAACAAATGGGTTACATATTATTCGTGGTATTAGTGGTATTATATTGGAATCAGCTTGGCATTAGTGGGGCATTATATGAGAAATTTTGGTATTTAATTTGTATTTTTGGAATTACTTTGGCATTAGTATACAGACATTTGTCAGCGGTTTACTCCTTGTAGATAATCAAAAAGTTTTTTGATAAAATTTGCTTTTTATGTCAGATCATTTCTATGAAAAATTACATTAGATTTTTATTAAAGACGCTGGGTAATTATAAAACATTGACTAATAAAGCTTGTTCACTTTAAATAAGGGGTCACGAAATATCCTCCTTGGAGTGTTTGGGTTAAGGGGTGTATAATAAATTAATCCTTGTTTTATAATAAAAACCATAAAACATTTATTTGTGAGTAAAATAATGCAATGGTTGGATATCTCTCCTTTATAATTAGGTGACTAAAATACACTAAAATAATTAGAAAAAAAATCTTGTACTTATTTAGTAATTACGTCATTATTAATTAATTGACTTTCTAATCTATTCTATTTTATGTACAAATATATTATTAAATTTAAAGCATTAAGTAATAAAACACTTTGTGCCCTCTTATATCGTAAGAGGTTACGAAATATACTCCTGGTTACACCCCTTACAGACAACAGTGTAAGGGGTGTAAATAAATTGTATAATCACTGTTTTTTTAAAATAAAAACTATAAAACATTTCTTATTTGTGAGATTAAAAAAACAAAACAATGCATTGGTTAAAATAAGTACATTCAATACATATGTGTTATAACATAATATGTGTTATAACATAATATAGCCATTACCATTATACTATTATTATTAAAAAAATATGTGTGTAACATATTTCTTTAACGAATTAACCTGTAACATTTATATGCGCAGTATATTTTTGTTTAACAAACCAATTAGGAAAAATCCAAAACCTATCGTTATAGGAGGTATAAGATGATTAAACTTATATAATGACAACTACTTAACGGATAACAAATTAATTACTACTGTCAGCTAGTTCAGCTACTGTCTAGGTAGAATATACCTAGAGTACCTACACCTATCTATGATGTAGGTAGATTAAAGCTTATTTTGACGTTACCTCTCACTTCGGTGTCACAAGCTGAATTTTTCAGGGATGGAAGTACAGTACATGATATGGGGACCCTTATTCCGAAAGTAGTACAAAATTAGACCGGGTAAAAGGGCACTATCATCAAAAATCGATACATTAATACCACCGTATAGAGAAAACAAATACTTATTTTTTGATCCAGTACACAATAAAGTCTTCGTAGGGAGTAATTTTTTACAATTATTTACAAAAAACATTTCCATTAGGCGCCTATGACCAAAAAAACTTTAAACATGAATAATCATTTCAATCATACGAAAATTTGGTTTAAAAATAGATTTTTTTTAATATAACTTTCATTTAACGAAAAACGAAGGCCTAAATGAAAAAAAGAAACAATTTAAAAGTTTCGCTTATGTCTTGGCAAGGTATCAAAGCAAACCCCATATTTTTTGCTTTTAAACTAATAAAGATATATCAATAAACAATTAGCGATGTAATGGTTTTTGCGTGCGCTGGCCGACTACCGCTGCTGCGCCGAGATTTCCTATACCCTTGTATATATGACGTCATGGTGTGGCAAATGTAGCATTTTAATTCGATTTGGGCTCCCTTATATAGGATAACAGAAACATTTTCAATGTTAAAATGTTTAGGTTCCCATATAAAAATCCAAGTATATGCGAACGTAGGATTTTAAATTCGGGTAAGCAGAAGGCGCGACTGAATATTATGCTAGATACCTTCTAAAAAAATGCAAGATAAGTTTAATTGTTTAGAGTGCAGTTCAAAATTTCACAACCAAGACCTTATTGCTCATTAACTTGATCCAAAAAAAACTTTTTACTGAACAAAAATTATGAGTTGGACAGACTTTCCCTAATTGTTCCATGCACAAAAATTTCGGACTTAGTCCAAAAGATGTTTATTTTATCGAAAAAATATTTTAATGAATATACAGAACAAGAATATTTAGGTCTTAAAATAAAAAGCAAAATTATTGCGAAAAGTGAGATTTCGATTTGGTTAGGTAGTTAAGGAAAAAACATGCTACCCACAAAAACTTTTTTTAATGAATCATTTAATTACCACTAATATCTTCAAATTTTGCAAATGGGAAGAAGTTAAAAAAGATGACGAACAAAAACTAAAAAATTTAAAAAATAAGTAGAATTTTAGCATATCTACCCTACAGAAATTACAATTTTACTAGTGCATTTGAGCCCGTTAATGAGATATTTTAGGGCATTTTTTGTGATGGTTCTGCTTTACAATCTAGATCCGCCTCATCTGGGGATGCAAAACGATTCATTCCAAAAAAATTGATTTTAGTTACTTGTTGCAAAAAACTCTTTTTTTACTATTTACACTGTTACCGCCAAATCTTGTTTATTATGAAAAACTACATTGTCTTATTTGTGATTTGTTTAGTAAAATAAAATTATTTAATTTGTTAATAAGAGGTCAAATATTGGTAATTGGCCTTGAAGGCAGGGTAGGTGGCTGATGCTTGCCCTGTAACAAAACTTCAAGAATGCCTACTGTTTCCCGACGAAGGGGTCGGAGTTTGAAAAATCAAATTCAGCTCTGCCAATGAATCCTACTCCCACGTCCTCGTAGACTTTAGTCGCGTGACCTCTGGATATATGGCGTACAATGGGTGTGCGTTATATAGCAAACGGGAGAGGGTGAAGGGCGAATTTCCGGCGCCCTTAAATAACTGTAACCTATCGGCTAAGGGAGTAAACCCTGATAGAAAATCCTGGTCCTCCTAGTAAGGGGGTTGGGGCAGAGGCCTAGCAAGTCACTCTCCATAAAACAACAAAACTGCTAAAAAAAACAAAAACCAGCCTCGGAATACGGACAGGAAACATTTAAAACGACAATTGGCAATGAAAAGGACTATGAGAATAGGAACGTGGAACGTACGTGGGATCTCGAACAAAATATCAGAAATACTACAGCATACAAAAGACTATAATCTATACTAAACTATATTTATACTAAACGAAACCAAAAAGAAAAGTAAAGGTAATGAAGATTTAGACAACTATGTTCATTTATGGTCAGGTGTCGATAAAGCACAACATGCTGCAAGCGGAGTATCAATACTAATTAAAAAGCACTTAAAAGAATTTATAAAGAATTTCCAATATATATCAGAGAGAATAATATCCGTAGAAATTAAATTATATGGGCATAATATGATAATAATTGGGGTGTATGCTCCTTATGACTCCTCAGATAATAATATTAAAGACGATTTTTACGAGGATCTTAATCACGTGATATCTGGTATTCGAACAAGTTACGATATAATCATAGCAGGAGATATGAATGGAAGAGTTAAGAGTCGAGAAAATAATGAAATTGTTGGAAAGTATGCAGAAGCGGTAGAAAATAATAGTGAAGAAAGGTTGCTGGAATTATGTAGTGAACATCAGCTCAAACTTATGAACACATATTTTCCTCATAAAGACATTCACCGGTTCACGTGGGAGAGGCCGTCTCTCAATCAAAAGTCCATTATAGATTATATTAAAGCAAGGACCAAATCTGAGTTTCGTGTAAATGACGCCAGAGTTAAAAGAGGGGCAAACTGCGGAACAGACCATCACCTGTTATTAGCCACAATAGTGTATCCCTTTCCCAGAAAACAAAACAATTTAAGATTATCAGAACAACAAACAAATAATACAACAGAGAAAATCAGTGAAATACAAAATAGAGTTACTTAAACAAGAAAGTATCGAAGGTCTCTATAGGCAAAGACTGCACACCGAACTGAGCTCTATACCAATACCAGAAAACATTGAAGAGGAACACGAAAATATAAAAAGCCAGTATTCACAAAATAGCCAAAGAAACATTAGGAGAATATACCACTGTAAGAAATAAACAACCGGAGTACATAACACAAGAAGTAAAACAACTCATTGAGGAAAAAAATAGGAAATACAAAAATTATTTATCAAATATAACAGAAGCAAATAGACAAGAATATAAAAATGCAAATAAGGAGGTGCGAACACAAATTAAAAAGGACAAAAATGAATTCTGGGAGCGGAAATGTAATCAAATAAATACGTACATAGGAGGAGCTCGTACGACTGAAGTATGGAGAACAATAAAAAATATGAAGATAAACACTAACGAAAAATAATTTCCTCTTATAAGTATAGAGGAATGGAAAGAATACTACACGCAATTATTAACAGAAAATTGCAGATATCACAGAACATAAGAACTTAACACCTATTACAACGGAAGAAATAGAAGAAGCGGTTAAAGAAATGAAAATTGGAAGAGCACCCGGACCCGGAGATATTGTAATTGAAGTGATCAAGTGTGGGGGGATAACACTATATGAGAGAATTAAAGGCTTATTTAATAATTATTTACAACAGAGAAAGACACCGAGTGAGTGAAAAATTGGATATATTTCATCTCTGCATAAGAAAGGAAACAGAAATGATCCAAATAATTACAGGGGGTTGTGCGTCACTGCTACTTTCTCGAGACTCTGGGGAAGAATTATACAAAACAGAATAAGAGCTGAAGTTGGAAACTCTATATCCGAAGATCAGAATGGCTTTACCCCAGGTCGGTCATGTACTGTCAATTTATTTGTCATACAACAAATAGCAGAAAAAAAGATAAAAAAAATGAAGAAATACATATAACATTTGTGGATATAAAGAAAGCATATGATAATATCCCGAGAAGTAAGTTATGGATGGTATTAGAAACTATTGGGGTTAGCCAACATCTTATAGAAGTTAGGGGTAATACAAGGAATACCAACCAGCTGGGTAAAACCGATCAAACGATTTAATTTCAAATTGCGCGCCAACTGCAGTGTAATGCAACGCCGCGGATGGATGTACAGCCAGACTGTTGAGAACAAGTGCCGGTGACGCCGTAAATGAGCTATGTAAAATTTTGTGCGTTAAAAAGTATTTTCGCGTGAATTGTTATATCTGTTTTGAGTTTAAAAATAGGTAAGTACTCCGAAAATAAGTGATATTTCCCCTATACCTGTATGACATTTATTAGCTTGAGCATTTGTTATGCAGAAACCGCATGATTAAATGGTTTAAGTATAATTTTTTTTAAAATTAATAATTTAAGAATTATCAACAGAAAATTTGATTTTTTATATAGGACACCCTGTATATTTTTAATTTATTGAAAAGAATTTAAAATTACCTTTCCAAAAATATAACACACTTGATATTTTGCTCGATTCCTCTTCGAGATATAGAGTATATAAAAATTCGCCCGCTTTAAATAAGTAGGCTTTGAACTTTGAACGGCACCGGCTGTAATGTAATTCTAGCTGTGACCATCAATTTTAAAGGAAAATAATATTTGCTTTGAGAGATGCAGAATTTTATAACAATTTAAAATATATTTAACCAACATCAACACGTTTAAACTATATCTAATAACAATAAAAATAAATAGCAAACCAAAACATGACATTATGCTACAGGTGTTCGACATATCTTTGGGGTCGCACTTCTCTAGCACTTTGTGTCTTTGTATCGGTTTTTTAATCGCGGTGCGATCCCTTTAGACACACATTTATTAAGAATAGTAAAATTATTAATCTGTAAAACGAAATGGGGTCTAATAAAAAAATTTGAATTTGAATTTGAATATCGACCGTCTTCTGTTAGGGACAGACGGGGCAGTTTTTGAACATTTCTCGCGGAATTCATTAACTCAGTGGGGGTGAAAGATACCCTCTCATAACTGCTAAGTATTTATCATTTTTGTCTAGATTATACGGAAGAATTAGGAACCTTTATTTTTCCGCAAATATATCCATAGGATTAGATCCATGGGCACTAAGTCAGGCGGTCTCGACGGCCAACGGCTGGGATCTTGGGTAGCTATTCAATTATTTTTGAAATTGGCCTCAAGAATTTGCTGATAACTTCAGCGTTCAGAGGCGGTGCGTCGTCTTGCTGGATTATATTATATATATATATATATATATATATATATATATATATATATATATATATATATATATATATATATATATATATATATATATATATATATATATATATATATATATATATATATATATATATATATATATATATATATATATATATATATATATATATATATATATATATATATATATATATAGACTTATATCAAACCTAACCTAACCTATTAACCTGTAAAACAGATATCAGCCATCAAGATGGTTACCAATCTTCACGAAAATGGTACTCATAAGAAATATTTAAAAAACGAAATAATTGTGCTGATTTTTATTTTCGCCCTGTTTAACCATGTAAATATTAATAATTGATTATACATTTATCTTCTAGAGTTGTTAACTTTTAAAATGAAATTTAGATGAGGAAAAGTACTACTGATGAAATATTATTGTCTACTTCATCATCAATTTTTTTTATTAATTTTTTTAATTTTCTCCAGTATACGACTTTTATCAAACTTTTTATATCAAAAGTTTTTTTATTTACGAATAAACGAAATAAAATAGTGTAATTAACAGTAATCAAGGTATTTTTTCACAGCTTTTTTCAATTTAAGCCCAATCAGAATAGAAACCAAGTTTAAACCAGCTCGTTTTTTCTATTGGCGATAGCAATCCGTTTTATAATCACGTTATTGAAATTTTAAAATCCCAAATAAAACTTTTAAACTGTAAACGTTAAAATATGAAATATGAATTTCGGCCCCTTTATGTTATCATGTATTTTCCTTCCGAAAATTGAAAATCGGTTTTTATTTTTTCTTCGCCCGGTAGCATGACTTTTTGACGTGCTTTTTATACAAAATGTAGTTTTATTGCGTACCTATCCCCCAAAATGATCAAAATCAAAAAATGTCAATCAATTTTGGCCTCAATTTTCCAATTTCCGCACTTTATCTCCCCATATCATCTTCATTTGTATTGTAATAAGTGTTGACAGACGTTATTAACGATTAATTTTGTTACTTTCATTCATTAACAAGTCAGAAATCGATCCAAAGTCGTAATTTGCAAATCTGTGTCCCTAAATATCTCGAAAATGGTAAATCGTAGTATGATTGACCCCGTAAGCGGAGCCCTGCAATCGCCCCATTTAAACTGTGTTTCAAAACGAATAGTTTTTGATATGTGGAATATAAGTTTTCAATGTCAAATTTTCTGAGCACAGTTTTTTAACTTTGTCGTACTTTTTTCTGAAACGGGCGTTAAAATATGAATATTACATTTTTTCCTCCTTTATAAGTCCGAAAATGAAAAATCGGTTTTAATTTTTTCTCCCTCATATTACATTTTTCGTCAATTTCTTGTCGTTTAATAGCGGTTACTTATCGCCATGTCTAATCCCATCCGATCATCTCGAAATCTCCCCACGAGATGGCACATATTTTTGAAACACCCTTTATAACACTTCAAATATTGGGTGTCCCATTTTAAAAAATAGTTCATACCAATAACGGTGACATTTGTAAGTTATTACATTATTGATTATAATAAAATAAAACTTGATTACAGACCCCTGTAATTTGTTTTTAATGAATGTTCTATCCATAGACATAAAATAAAAGTTTATGGTTCTATCCAAAAATAGAAAAGTTATAGCCTGGCAAAAATGGGACAAAATAAAATGATAATACTACTACTAATACATTATTCACATCAGACAACAAGTAATTACTGGTTAAGTTAGGTATCGAAAAACGAAATCTACAATTATATTAGTGAATAATGTATTAGTAGTAGTATTATCATTTTATTTTGTCCCATTTTTGCCAGGCTATAACTTTTCTATTTTTGGATAGAACCATAAACTTTTATTTTATGTCTATGGATAGAATATTCATTAAAAAACAAATTTTAGGGTCTGTAGTCAAGTTTTATTGTTTATTATAATCAATAATGTCATAACTTACCAAATGTCACCGTTATTGGTATGAACTATTTTTTTTAAATGGGACACCCAGTATATTTGAAGTGTATTTATAAAGGGTGTTTCAAAAAATATGTGCCATCTCTCGTGGGGAGATTTCAGGGGAGATCGGATCCAAATTAGGACACAAAATGGCGGCCGAAGGCAGCTATTAAACGACTACGAAGTTGGCAGAAAATTGTATACAGGGGAAAAAAAAAATTAAAACCGATTTTTTCATTTTCGGGATTTTTTTTTAAATACATGATAACTTATAAAGGGGGCAAAATTGGTCTTAATATTCATATTTTAACGCCCTTTACACGTTTCAGGCGAAAAAAGTACGAAAAGTTAAAAAAAACTGTGCTCAGGAAATTGACAATTGAAAACTTATATTCCACATATCTCAAAAACTATTCGTTTTTGAAACACAGTTTAAATGGGGCGATTGCAGGGCTCCGCAAGCTCCATTTATACAGGGGTCAATCATCATACTACGATTTACCATTTTCGAGATATTTAGGATTTTTAGATTTTGCAAATTTTTGACTTTGGATCGATTTCTACGACACTTTGTACAATATTTAGAAGTAACAAAATTGTCGTTAATAAGCGTCACCAACCCTCTATCCAACAATGTATCACTTATTACAAACAAATGAAGGATATGGGAGATATTTTAAAAAAAGTGCAAAAAAGGAAAATTTGGAAAAAAAATTGAGGCCAAAATTGAGGCCAACTTTTTTTACATTTTTTGATTTTGATCATTTTTAGGGGGGGATAGGTACACAATAAAAAACTACATTTTT